GGCTCTCTCCTTGCTTAATAAAAAAATGTCTTTTTTGGTAGATAAGATTTTAATATGTAATAATAATTTATGGAAACATTTATTATGGATTAATGGACTAAGTCCATAAACGTGACATTCACTAATCGTAGTGGAACCTGCCTGATAGTCACACTAAATGATCTTTCTATTCCGCAATCCAATGAAGCAAAGTACTTGGATATGTACCTGTCTCACGTGGAAGAAGCACATTTCCATGAAGCAAAAACAACTCGGAATTCAACTCTCAACTATATTGGTTTATTGATCGCAAATCACAGCTATTTCTTGGAAATAAACTTCTTCTTTATAAGATATTTTAAAACCGATCTGGACTTGCCGAATTCAAATTGGGGCATTGCCTCAAATTCAAATGTAGAAATTCTCCGGAGATTTCAGTCAAAAATGCTTCGAATCATCACAGACGCTCCGTGGTACGTCTCAAATCGGATTCTCCACAAAGACCTTGGCAACAGCACAGTTAAGGAAAAAAATTAGATACTACAGCAGTAGCCATACATGATAAATGTCTCCAATGAGACAGATGGACATTTCTAAGAGTTAATTTAAAAAAAAATTATACTGTTTGGAAAACTCTTGATGTCAACTACAAGAATATGTAATAAAAAATGGAGGTTAGATTTCCATTAAAAAAAAACAAAGTTGACCTCTACATGACCTTGGCAACGCCACCCAAAGGAAAATTAATAAGATCAGTAAATAGATCTTTTTAAACCCTATAACTTTTATTCGAAACACTTTTCTGTAAAACTTATATTTTTCGGGATATTCAGGAGACCTTTTGGGACGCCCTGTATACATGATTATACAGTCCAGTAATAACTGCATCATCTCTCGCAGATAAGTAGAATGGGTTATATTAAATAGAAAAATCTTATACCATTTAGCGATTTTCGTAATAATTAAAGGATTATTAATTTATATATATCTGCAAAAGGAGCTTAATAGTACATAATATTTATTGCTAGAAGATGTTTGAGTGTGATTTGACAAATGAGAAAATATTTATTTATAGTGCACACTTTCAACATATTGCCGCACGCCTAGCAAATGTGCATCGTAAATGTGGACTATCATTTTGTACGAAAGCTCGCTCACTCGTGGATATAAATTAATGTATAAATTAATAATTTTAATTATTGAAAAAGTCGCAAAATGATATAAGAATTTTCGATTCAATAAAATCTGTTCTACTTGCTCACGAGATAATATGGTACCGGACTTTGTATATGGAAAATTTGTCTTATTCTTTTAAACTTAACTTAAAAAAAAAAAGAAAAAACAAACAAACAAGACAAAAATTTTTTTATTTTCTCATTATTATTTTTCTTACAATAAATAGAAATTTTACGAAAGAAACTAATACGTTCATATATGTATGTGTGTGTGTGTGTGTGTGTATATATATTCAATTATATCAAATAAGTATATTCTTTTACCAACATCCGAGTCAAATAATTTTATTAATTTCTGAACCTGGCAACCGACGAGCACGTCCGCGCACCCGCACGAACTCGCAGTGAACTCGCACGACACGCCCGAGGATGGACCGTTACAGTAGAACCTTTATCACTTGTCATATCACCAGCCAGTCTGAG